GATATCAAGAGACTATAGATCACTCAGATTTCGAATCGATACAATAGAAAACAGCACGATTCAATTGCGCAATTACCCGTTTTTGTCAAAAGCATTTAACTGCTGCCTATTACCGTCGGCTGAAATCTGAGAAACCCGGCAAGTTGCATGCTATTACTTCAGCACATTAAAATCACACACATGAAATCTGTGCTCCGGTATAATGCAACGGGACTTTTACTAACCCGTTGCTAAACCGGATGAATAGGTCAATACAAAACATAATACTGGAACCAATGGATCAGTGCTGTAAATAAGGTAGGTATTGGTGAAGAAAATATACTTCGTATTTAATTCACAATTACTTGTGAGTAGTGCGTGTGTGGGATAATTGATATTGATTAATTTGACTGACTATCCTTCGGACTTCACCTTCACGCACAATCCTCAGTTCATTGATTCAAACATTCACTCGGAAGCACTAGCACTAGTGCATATCCACCGTAGGTATGCACTACTGATGAGCTCTAATACGAGCGAAACTCGAGTGTAGTGCTTCCGAGTGTATGGTTGAATCGATTAACTGAGGATTGTGCGTGAAGGTGAAGTCCGAAGGGTATTCAGTCAAATCAATCAAAATATACTTCCTTGACCTAAGGATAAAAATGAACTTACAAAAGAGTGCCTGGCATAGATTCTTGGCGAGCGTCATGATTCACGAAATCGGTCGTGTGCTTGAAGGGAAGTTTTATCCAGTGGCTCATATATTGTAGAATATATACACCCAATCCACTGTTGTGAGAGTGGGTAAAACGTTTACCGTCGGTGATTCACTTGAAAGCAAGCCATCTGGCCAAGTGAATTTGTTTCCCCACTAAGTGACAAGTTGAACACCTATGAAAGCCAATAAACTTTCTGAAGCGTTTCAGATTGCCTCCCAGAAAGACCATTTTGGTTTCACTGGACGCTGATTATCAAAAGTACCATCAGTGTTATATGAGTTTGAGTCCAAACTGTAGACAGTCAATGTAACTTGCTCTGTTTCTCGACACTTCAAAGAATAGAACAAATCGTAATAATTATGTTGAGTTTCTACGCTACTGCGCACAAAGAGTTTTGCTCGTAGCACATCCGGTTTGTTGCTAGTATACAACATCAGAGTTTATTCTGGAGAAACTCAATGCACGTATGCGATGCCTATTTCGCTTTTGGATCAGTCCGGTAGCCCAGTTGGTTAGAGCGTCGTGCTAAAAACGCGAATGTCGTGGGTTCCATCCACATCCGGGCCACACTCTTTGGGTTGTGGGAGTCAAGTAGTTAGGTCACCAAATTACGACGTGGAAGTCCCGTTTTCGAACCACTCCACCGCCGCCCGTCTTCCCTTCTTCTGCAATTCCCCTGGCAGCCTTTGTATGATTGAATCCCTCTTCCTGATTGTTGACTGTATATTTATATATTAAAGAAAGTAAAAAGATAAATTTTTACATCTTCATGGACATTCCTGATATTCACTGCGTTTGTACCGGTCTCATGGACAAAAGTGTGACACACGTCCTGAAAATATTTTGGTTTACAACAATGGTGAATATAGTAGTTCTGGTTCGTGCACCGTTCAGGTCGTATATGGATGAAATCCTTGAGCACGTACAAACTGCCGTGAGATCGAAGTGACCAAGCGGGGGACACGGAAAGGATGATAGTCCTGAATGGGCTCGTGAGCTAAACAGTGCAGAAAGCGAAACAGCATTATTGTTGACAAGACGGTGCTTTAAGCGTTTGAGCTATAAGCAATACGTAATCATAATGATTTTTGGATGGATGATGTAAGTTTAAAAATTCACCACAAAAGTGCTTCCGCCTTACAGCCATAGAATGAAGATCATAGACTAAGTTGATGAGTTGCATGAAGGTGATCTGCGAATTGAGTGTTGAACATCCGCCAATATGAGAAGCCTTAGGTTTTTCTTTGTTGTAGCAATCATACAAAATACATCAGCAGTAGCAACAACAAGCATTATGATTGCGCATTAACTGAGACAGTATAATGCATCTAGTTTTGAAAATTAAGGTGATTGTTGGTCTGTTTGAACTCAAGAGTAATTCAATTTCTTCTCCATTTTATCGAAGATCTCTTCTTCCTTTAGAGAAAAACGCCCAGTTTTGTTGTTCACAATCGCATTGATGAAGCAATTGAAATATCTAATGAAAATATGTTTTATTGACGGTGTGTTTATTGTGCAGAGTCATCGTGTCACTCACCACGCGAGCTTCGGATGCATTGAGCGCAATGGTGATCTGTTTGCCCTGTTGACAATCAGTGCCACGCGGGTGGAGTAGTGCCACCTCGGTTTTCCAGGCTCTTACTGTCGGCTGACACGGCAGTAACCATATATGCATAAACAATTTAAATGAGGAAACCTAACGATTCATAACGTCCTAACCCAAACATCTGTTGAACAAACGTGGTATTACGTTCTTCACAAGGGTGAAAAACAGAAAAACTCTTCCCGCATGTAATCTGATTGTAAAATTGAATGCATATTGCTCACGCATGTGAGTCTAAACCTAACCGCTTGGAATCTCACAAGCTGTGTAGGAATTGAATTATGAATATAACGCGCAGTACTCCATATGTTCTAGGAACCGCCCGAATCCATAATGTTTACATAGAAACATGAACGTCCTTTTACTACTTATTAGCACGGCTCGTACAAAGCTTTCATCCCTGCTTCCCTTTCTCCGTAACCAAGTGTATTGATCACCTAACAACTGATCTTTAAAAGCCATAATCCCGAGATTTGCAGCACTATCAAGTATTCTGGAATAGCGTTGTGGTTTGTTTCTGAATTACCAATTGGTTGAGTATTTAGGCATCTCATTTGAATTTGCGCAAACATTGAATCAAGTTTCAGTTTAGATAACGGAGGATGTTCGCATCGACGGGAATACATAATTTAGCTTGAGTATGTGCACCCTAATACATAGACTGATGAATCTCGTTAAGTATCTGATAAGCATGCAAGAGCAACAGGCTTTGTGATGTTGATATACTGATTTACAAAGTTCTACTCGTGCGTAGCTGAAAGAGGAGAATACCACTATATCACAGCAATAATTCACAAGTGAACAGGGTAAGAACAATCTGTCCGCAAAATGCGCTGTCCGAGGAGCAGATTGAAAATTTGTGCGGACTATGCATATTTGGAGATGAGGGATATTAATTATTGGATAAGAGAGTACCCTTTAAACAAACGTGATGAGTGGCGATAACTGTGGAATGGGTTGTGTGATTCGGGGAAAATTCCGTCTACTCATTCAGATACAACTTAATACGTTTACGATGATAGTTGAGCAGTTAAGGTTATCTTTATAGAGACTGGGGGAAAACAGTGAACTGTGATTCGTCTTCTCTATCGCGCCAAACTTTGTAAGTCCCTTAGCAGCGTAATATTGCCCACAGAATGTTTTCGGTGCTGAACACATCGTGGCAGTTTTTGTTTTCCAGAATATTTTGAATATACATCCAACCAGGGCGCCACATCCCCATTTTCGTTAAAACTGATAGCTGTTTTACATTAATACGCCTGCAGGTTACAGTAAGTTTTTGTTTATCAAGACAAGAAGGTGAGGAGAATCTGTCCTCACGACTGTGTAAACCGGACGACAGATCAAAGAGAAATTGAAGTTATATGCAAGATATTCACAGCTGGAGGAAATATCATCCGTGCCGAAAACTTAAAAATTATTGGAAAAACCATGCCTCATCGAGTTTACAAAGCAAAACTTCTTCTTTTTGATGGTTATTTGAGACAAGACGAGATAGGTAATGATGCCAACACGGATCGTAAATGTTTGAATGTCAAAAATGGTATAGTACTATGGGATGCTCTTACGGAAGGTTCTGCAACGAGGAATATTTCCATTTCTTTTACAACTATGCGATCGATTAAAAGACCGCGGAAGGGCAGGAAAATTTGTAAGATTTATCACACGTAGAATACCAAATGCAACCATGTCAGGGGTAGTTTTAGCCAAAAAGGCTAAAATGATGAGATCAACTGAGGAACAGGAGGTTACAGCAAACAAAAACAGAATTAATCTAAACAGTACTGAATTGATGAAAAATATCACCTCATGGGTCCCGGATGTGGTTGTGCAAAGAAAGATGAGAAAAAAGAAATCCAACAATGAGTAGTGTTGATGAATATTTTTTTCTTCTACTGGCTAACTGTTGTCAAAATCTTTCTGCTGTACCACTGTTGAGAGTACTACTGTCTGTGTAGCGGTTGAAGTTGCATTACGATCGGTACCAGTATTTTTGAAAAGGCAAAATTCATAATCGATGTAAAGGATATTATTCGAGGAGCATTCTTTTAGATAAAAAACTTCATATAAAAGCGTTTCTCCAGTTAATACACTTTGGTTGTTATGCAACCAGCAGTAGGCCAATGCCAAATGGGTAAAATCTTCCTATTTTGGTCCCGGAAATCTCAGCAGGTTTGTCATTAAGCATCAAAGGTTGTCAGAAACCGGCATATGATAGTAATTGATACTGCGTTGTCTGATTTTACTTCCCTAATTAAGTGGTGCTTGAATATAGAAACATTTTGTACTATCTTGTAACGGCCAAACAAGACAATCTTATCCGTGATCGTTAAGCTCCCTCAATTAAGACTTCAAGGTAGAATTCGTGTCTAATACAGTACTAGATAGCTAAGATAAATCACGCAAGTTATTCCAAGAACTTGCGGCAAATTATCTTATTTCTTAAGTTACGTCTACATACAATCGATACCCTGGAATGGATCAAATCGGAAAGTGATTATATTGATCAAAAATATTGATCGCTCATTGCACCAATCCAATGGTTGTTTATCACTTTTCGGTCAACCAAAATCTCTCCTATTTGTGAAAAGTGATGCATACTCAAAACCTAGGACTCGATGTGTTTGTCAAATCAATAAATTGCTACAAGCATCTGGTTTAACAAAGTCAACTCATATTACTCCAGTTTGAAGAATATGCAACGACCAAGCACAATGATTCCGTCAGTCGTAACACTGATCATTGTGTATTTCTTGCAACCGTTCAAAGCTGTACCAGTTATGCAGGCCAAAACTGGTGCCTTGAAAACTCCGACGGTATTTGCTACTTTTGACTTACCGGACAAAACGAAGAGTTCGCTCACTGGTCAGCACGATCTAGGTAAGTTCCTAGATCATAGGATTTACCCACTACAATCAAACAGGTCCGATGGATGTGAACAGGTACCCGTTAGTAGTCCCGGCATCCAGCAGTTCTGTCGTACCACAAACGGGCAATTTCGAGATGCAAACAATACCAAATGAAGAGGAATTGTGGCCACAATCGATTTCTTCAAGAACTGGTGGAATGTCAGATTCGGTTGAAGTGACTGACTATGATCGGGATCAGTTACGCAATCCTTGGGAAGACGACAACACATTCTCAGCTCACTTGGATGATGTTGAACCCATTCTACCGTCATCGATTTTCATGGAATAGCTCGCATGTGAGTACATACATTCACTGTTCCTGCAATCGCGAGCTACCTCCCGCCTGCATATTATATCAGCTGGTATTTTTATAAATGTATTGAATAACAAAACGTTTTCTGTAAAGGTCCTATATATGTTAGGCAGGCAATAGCTAATGGGTGGGAGTAAACATTGTTATTTATCATAATAGACAGTGCTTCTGGAGGTGGTAGATATGATCAATGTATGGCCATTTTGATAGTGAGAGTAAAGTGATAGCATTGTTCATAAAAGTGGTCTCACAAGAGATTCAGGTAGACTCACTTGCTTTGGAATCATTAGGAACCTTGTGCACAACAGTTGTAATCAATCTAAGGTAAAGCGTATTTGAATGTAAAAGGCAACAGGAATCCCAAACTAATGTTACTAATTTGCACACAGTTTACTTGGTTCGTTATACTGTATTATTAGATCAGTTCTTAACCGAACATCAACTGAACCCTACAACTGTATCAGGAGTTCGAGATCTGAGTAAAAGTTAACTTCTACTTTGTGGTATTCTTTATTTTTCCGTTTAGCTTTTCCATAAGTTTGATAAATTTGCTTTTGGACTGTTGAACTGAAATCGTTGAAACGTAATTAAGGTCACTTAATTAACGAGTAAATCATCAATGAGATTCAAACGCAACGGATCGCGTTTTCGTGTGCAAGAACACTGACCATCTCTGTTCAACTCCGAAACAAGTGCTGCATTTGAAATGATGTCTTAAACACATTTATGAAACAAATAATAATCCAATCAATGGAATGATAGAAATCGATGTTAGAGAACTAACCTGGCCTTTGCTGCTATAGTGCATCAGTCTCCTTAAGTAAAAACACCCGGCTCTACAAGAGTGATCTGCCAAGTATGCCTAATATTTCAGTTATTTACAAAGATCACAGATAAAAAAGTCGAGGCGCACGTTTGCGAAAGATGTACGGAATGAAGTTGCACTGGGGAAAACGGGCGAGTGGTAATGCGCGACGATTATTTGATCAGTAAGCTCCAATGAATCTCGGAAAAGATTCAGTTCAAAAGAGGCGATAAGCGTACACACAAGTGGACCTTTCAAAAGCAAATATCTGTTTTGACCGATATGTTCACTGTTCTGTGCAGATCATGCGAATATTTCATGCGTTGTAGGCTTCGTTTGTGCATTTAATCAAACCTAAAAGTGGGCAAATGGACTTTCGACCACACAGGTTAATTCGAGTCGCTCCCAAAATCTCTAAATGCTGGGTAATGAAAATGCACCGAGCGAAACATGGAATGCTAGATTCATCAAATTGATATTTGTTGTAGGTGGTGGTGATGGCCAAGTGGTTATGTCACTTGTGACCTGTGAGTCTCGGGTTCGAACCGTTTCACCACCGCCTGTCTTCCCAGGCAGCTTTTGTACGGCAGCGGCCCCTTCCTGAATTTTTACTGTACACTTGCATATTAAATAAATAAAAGAAGAAGTAGAGACAATTATTTATTCGTTCAATAGTTCACTCCATGACTGACTTATTTCACTTGCCAAGTTGATAAGGGTTCTTGCATGGATGTTATCAATCACCGCAGATGAATTCCTTTACAAACACCACAGTTTCGATAAAGGTTTCGGTACCAAAAACACACACCTGTCGTAGACGGCTAAGTCAATATCAGGTTCGTCGATCGCTCAGAACACACGTGTACATGATCACCCTATTCTGACTAAAGCGGGTCACTTACGTTGTTTGAATTTGATCTCATCCAACGTTTGCCTAAATGTGGTTCTATGCTATGTAATCACAGCCTATAAACTGTCCGGGTTTAAGAGTACGGCGCATACAGCAGTCTGATGAACTGCGTTCTTACTACGATTTCGGCATTTGAAATAGACGCCTGAAGGCTCTAATGTGATACGAGGCATTATTTCACTCTTATTCCTTGATCAACGATTGGTATCTATTCCTTTTCAAATACGTATAATTAACGCATCAGTGTCATTATTTGCGTATGCCATCTCACAGCGTAAACTTGAAAATAATGATCTAGAACCTCGTACCCATGTAGTGTAAANTTTTGTTTGGAGTATATCACCATCAGAAACCGAAACAATGAACACCAAACGTGCCGAGTTCTTTTGAGAGCATGAACAGTGTTCCAGGTAAAATTACGCATAGATGTTCCCGAAAAGTACCAAGTCCATCTCAGATTCGAAACTAAATAGAACGACAGATTTTGCCTCATCACCTAATCTAGTAGTGACTGTTGCATTAAGCTGTACTTCTAAGTTAGGCTATATGGAATAAATGGCATAGCCAAATCCCTTCTCGGTTCATTTTTTAATGTCATACCTAGGTTACGGGGAAACTAACTTGGAGGTACTGTACAGTTGTTTTTTACGGTTATTTTTTAATGATCGGTAGAGCAAATACACCAAGCTACTGTGGACTCTAACCAGGACGTGCGGAGCTCAGAGTCCTCCAGAGTGTAGGTGTCAGATGTCTATTTTACGTCAAATCTATTTGGTGAGGCCCATATATTTCCCTAATACTAGCATTCGGCAACTGCAATGGTTATAACACCAATGAACTCAACTGCTACTTTTAGGGAGGTTCATGTCAAAACCCTACAGTTTGTTCGAAGTGAGAGTTCATGTTCATCATATGGTTACGAGTAAGAGACTGAGTTGACCTGCTCGCTCATGACTTTAAATTCACTGATGACTTTCCCTCACGCGCATCTGTGAAACTGAGATGTTTTGATACCTCAGTACGGAAGTCATATAAATGAAATGAATAATCGGGTTTAAGATGTTTCCAACCGAGTCACAATCCTTGAGGTTAGTGCTGAAATGGTCAAGAACTAATGCTCGCAATAAGTTCGCATAGATGGGTTATGTTATATCACGCTAATTTGAAATGATAAACGGTCTGATCAGCTGTCCGGTGGCCGAGTGGGTAATGTGTTTGCGTTCTACCTGTGGGGTCCCGGGTTCGATCTCCAGTTGGATCGGTGGATTTGCTGCTGAGACTGCTGATGAGACCCGACCAGGTAGAAACAGCTGTTCAATGCTTCTCAGCTCTTCAGCTCACGTCTCAACTACAGGTCCAATCCATCATGTAAATATTAAGGCATTCAGTCTCAGTGAGCCATCGCTAACCTAATTCCCTCTGTGTACAAATATGTGCAGCCAATCAACACCAAGCATTTGGCACATCTTACTGTATGGTGGGATTTGCCTTTTCAGATTATGTTCTCCATCGGGGTATTGATTACCTGTACACATAGTTTTCAGGTGATGAGTTGCTCAGAAAATTTACTTGTCAGTTCTTTAGAAGTTTTGCGCAAGTCACCGCCTGTCTGTCCAGGCTCGAGTTTCTAGCTGCAGCTTTACAATGTAGAACTGTTTAGTTTACAATAATTTGCAACCCAATGTTAATCTTTATCTTCTAGCTCGCCCCAAACCATTAGTAACATGGTCATATCTGCGAAATATAGTCTGGTGTTGGTGTACTCGTTGAGCTTATGCTTCTGTCTATGAGTATTATTTACGGAAAGATGGACGAAAGTGATGACAATGGAAATGCGATCAAGCTGGGAAGATATTGCAGGTTGTGGCAGACATCGATGAAGACAAAGATTCAATGCACGCATCGTGTTGCATTTCTGTTTGTTTGCTAGACTCCACCCTGCTACAAAATCCGCAAAGAGCCTTTCTTATTTGTGAGTGGAATTTTATTATAACAGGACTGAATGGGCTGGAGATTGAACAGTCAACAAGAGTTGATGGGATAGAGAACATGATCAACGAATTCGCATCGCGGCTGACCCGTCTGTTCAGCTTTTTGTAACTTCCACGAATTCGACTGCTGTAGGACTGGAAGGATGCTGGCATTTTTCCATGACACAAAGGCAGGTGAACCGGACTGACACCGAGAGAGATTTTGCAACTCTTTGCAAACGTTTTTCAAGTCCGGACAAAAAGAACACCCGGATCGGTAGTGTACGTGTACCCGGGAGAAGTAACTAGTAAACAATTATTACATCCATAGAATATACATCGTAGAAGAAATTTTTGAGAACGTCTATTTATGAATATCAGATACCTCAATTTGTGGGGTAACTCACTAACGGGATACATTGAACCAATCAGCGAGAAGCAGTGTCAGGAAGGGAAGACCGATGAAGTGACCACAGTAGAGGTTGTGCAGCCTGCAATGTAAAGCATATGTACTTAGAGGTGAAAGAACGTCCAACCCATTCATTCATTATGAAGGACTGTTAGTGCTTTGTATAGATCGACCTTGAGCGAATATCGATCTCTCGAATCATTAGGAAGATTGTGGAAGTACGACTGACAAACAAGCCTGCTTCAGAAACACAGACTCAGACATGCATACACAAGAGGCCAAGGTCAAGCAGACACTGGTTAGGTGATTTTATGCCGTGTGATTGATCTCAAGGACGTATGACATGATTCAAGGTTGAAAAGGTCACATACAATGGGATTCTAGGGTGGTTAGTGATACAGTGAGTTCGGATCGAATTTTCATCTATCATGAATGTTTACTTTCAATCGGGAATGAAGTCTTTTACAATGGGGTTACGAATATTTCCCGCAAACACTGTTCAATCATTATGGTTTGTGTGATGATCACAGCTTCCAAGAAACCAGAGTTTTCAGAACATCTTGCGAAAGTGGGGTTTAAATTCCATTGAAGTCTTTACTTAAAACCCTTGAGAGCTCCGCTGGGTTCTGAGACAGAGCAGCCTGAAACCATTTAGATCGTTGGATTGACTATCTGCGAAGGCCTTCTGATTGGTGTGGGCTTCTTACTTTGGACGGAGGTTTGAGTTCATCGACGCAGCGAATGAAAATGAAAAGGTTGAACAGAATGCAACATTCTTCCACTAGACTAGTTGTCGGACCACGTGGTACCAACCATGAAGATCATCACAGGCTACCGAATTTCTTACAGCTTCATGTGTTTGCGCACGGGGGTGTTATCTAC